ATGGGGGGGTGGAGGGCTCTGGGGTGCCGAGGAATAGCAGGGTGGCTTCACCGACGACAGGAGGCGCTAGCTAGTGGACGCCCCGGCACAGCCGAGCGGCCCCGGCACTGCGCCGCGATCCCACAATACAGCAGCGGCCGGGAGCAGTCGAGAACCGCGTCCGACTGGGGAAAGAGAGACGCTCAGCGCCTTTCACTTTCCTCCCTCTTCCCGCCCCCGTTCCTCCATGTCCTTCGCTCCTCCCACTTAGAGCTCCACACAGCCTCGTGTGACAGGGGGAATGAAAACAAGGGGAGCCGGGCCGGTAGGCGGGCTGGAAGCTGAGGAGGCGGGACTTTCTGGGAACCGTAACCAATAGGCTTGAGGGGTCGGGGCTTCGTGAGGTGACGGGCGAAAGGTTCCTTCGGGGCGGGGCGCGGCGGGGCGGGGCTTGTGGAGGGAACACCTAGATCCGAGGGCCCGAAGTCAGTGAGGCGGGAGGAACGGCACCGAGCGGTTGGTGGTCGCAGCTCCCTGGAAGCGGGCTTTGGGTGAGTGTGGCGGGGACTCCGAGAACTGGAAGAGGGCCACGAGATGGTGAGGGGAGTTCAGGAGAGTGAATGAGAGAAAAAAAAGAGAATAGGGGAGGAAGAAGCACGATTGTGGGAGAACGTGGGAAAGGGGTACTACCGTAGAGAGGTGCCGTTAACTAGGGTTGCGGTGGGACCTGTGTAAGGAGAAGTCTGCGGGAGTTTGCTGAGGGGTGTTGCTCTCCGCGGTACAAGATTCGCGGCTTCGCTTTCGGAAAAACAGTGTCTGAGGGCCCGAGGGGACGAGGGCCTACGGAACCGGGCTCGGCGGAGATCACCAGTCTGAACAGTTGGGGTCCTGCCAGGAGATCGGGGTCTGAAAGGACCTAACTCTGCAGGAGGACCAAGGGGTGAGAGGACAGGGCTGTGCTGTGCTCGCTTGGGTGTGAGGGAGAGGGGCTCTGAGGAGACTCTAGGGGTCTAGCAGTGGTTCTCAACCTTCTGGCCCTTTAAATACAGTTCCTCATGTTGTGACCCAACCATAAAATTATTTTCGTTGCTACTTCATAACTGTAATGTTGCTACTGTTATGAATCGTAATGTAAGTATCTGATATGCAGGATGGTCTTAGGCGACCCCTGTGAAAGGGTCGTTCAACCGCCAAAGGGGTCGCGACCCACAGGTTGAGAACCGCTGGAGGGGACTGGTCCGTGGGATGGGAGCAAAGGGTGGGCTAGGACTCGGTCGCTGAGCGGGCGGGCGTGGTAGGAGATTTGGTGGAAGAGACAAAAGTTTGATAGAGGACAGGGTTCCACCTCGTTGGGGGCAGCAGTGAGCGTTCTCCCACAAAGAATCTCAGAAAACCGACAGTAATGCAAAATGGAATGTACAGCCTGAGATGCCCTGTGCATAGTGGTTTAGGAGCCTGAGCTTTGGATTCGGCCAGACTCGAATCCTAACAGAACCACTTGGTACCATTGGGGACGATTCTTAATTTCTCTGAACCTCTGTAAAGTGGGGGTGATAACAGTGCCTACACCGTAGGGTCTACATAATTCACAGTAAATTGATTGGCACGATGCGCTGGCACATTGTAAGTACTTTTTTTTAAAAAAAGGAGTTCCTAAAATTTAGATTGAATCCAGCTATAATTTATACAGTTTACTACTTTGAGCCAAAATTTTCAATGTGCATTTAAAACTTACATAGTACCTACTTCCTAAAAAGAATTTGAAGCAAGATACAATATAACCATGTAAAATAGGACAATTAATGATTAAGGATGATAAAGAAATTTATAGGCAGATAATAATGTTGAGAACAGAAAAATGCTTACCACAATTAAACGTTGCATTTTGTTCTGCATTTCTAGGTTTAAAAAAAGGGAAAACCGTGATGGTCGACATCATCCTCATTATCTAAAGAAAGAAAAAAAATTACTCATTTATCAAAAGAGAAAAAATTATAAGAGGAATTTATTACCTAGAATACTTATTTCTAATATTCAAACCCTTTCTAAAAGGAAAAAAATGTTCTTTTGAAAATTCCAGTTTAAGAAATACTGATGTACATGGTTTCCTTTAGTTCTTTGAATATATTTATAATAGCTTCTTTGAAGTCTTTGCTATATCAAACATTTGGGAACACATGTTTCTTTTTTTAAAAAATATGTTTTTATTTTATTTCAGAAAGAGGAAGGGAGAGGGAGAGAGAGAGAAACATCAGTGATGAGAATCATTAATGAGCTGCCTCCTGCACAGTGGATCGAGATCAAAACCCCAGCATGTGCCCTGACCGGGAATCAAACCAGGAACCTTCTGGTGCACGGGACGACGCCCAACCAATTGAACCATACCGGGCAGAGCCACTGCATTTAAATAAATAAATAAATAAGCAAACATATATATATATAATTATTGTTGACAGTATAATGGATGTCCTCTATCTCCCCTTTCCCCCCATGCTCACAGGCTTTTGTCCACTCTGGATATGTGGAGAGTTTATTCTTCTATGGCTGTGTCACCTCTGGGAAATTCCAATTAAATCCTTCCCTACTCTCCCAATCCATTGTTTGCCCCAAATATCAAGGAACCAGAGCCACCTGTCATCCATATTCACCTCCACTAAGATCACTAGTTTAAATCATGGTGCTTAAAGTCAAGTGAGCCTCCTCTGACTATAGCAGCAAATCTGTTGTTTTTCATGCTCTGCTCCACCCACATTGAACCTCTGTGCCAACAGAATCAATGTGGGGGCATGGGCGTGGTCCCAGGCAAGAACAACAAAATGCCTTACTGTTCTTTACCTGAAATTCAGTGGTTGTCATAAGTAAACACTTCTCAGTTTATATATATATGCATTTACTAGTAATATAAATTACTAGAGTACCAGGTGGTTATTTTTTATAGTTTTGTCCAGCTTTATATTTGCTTTTGGGGTAAGGATTGTCAATCTCCTCACTCCATCATGCTGAAGTAAATCTCCATCTTTTCATTTTATCTCCAAAGAAATACCCTGAGCATTCCTTCCCCAGCCTGAGAAGTGATGTTACTATTAGTTTCCAAGGCTGGATGTTTCAGGGTCCCGAGAATAACAATGTACTTATTAGACCTCTAAAGAAAATGTGACAACCACATAAATGAGAAAAATGCTTCCTAACCCATAGTGGGTTAGGGCTAGCTCTATTTTGTATATATAATAAGGAAATTATTTGTCTTAAAAATCCAAATACTGGCATTGTTCAGAAAAATTTAAGTTTCTAATTATTATAAAGTTGGACTGCTGAAACTTGTTCACTGAAACATTTTGACTTGCATTATTAATGCTTTATGTCCCAACATTTATATTTTTAAAAATTCACACACAAATGAAAATGGAAAAACTGCCCATACCTTATTTCTGTCCCCTATTTTTCCACTTGCAATCATATACTTAGGTATCTTTTGACCCCAAGGGGGGGGGGTAGCTAACATTCAGAACAACCAATAATAGGAAGAAGAGAAAAAAAAAATTTTTAAAGGATGAAATGTTGCCTGGCTGGTGTGACTCAGCGGTTGAGCATTGACCCAGAAACCAAGAGGTCACTGGTTCAATTCCTGGTCCTGCCCTATTATGGGCTTGATCCCCAGTAGGGGGTGTGCAGGAGGCAGCTGATTGATGATGTTTCTCACTTATTCAAGTTTCTATCTCTCTATCCCTCTCCCTCCCTCTCTAAAAATATCAATGAAAACATATTTTTTAAAAAGGGATAAAATGTTCCCCCATCATCATGGATTCTTAAGCACGTTCTCCATGTTTGCAATGTGCTAGCTGGATGTCTTTTGGCATAATTGTTACACGTTTGGACTAGATCGCACATAGGTTGGTGTCTTCAAAGAGGCCAACCACATAGGCCTCACTTGCCTCCTGCAAAGCACCAATAGCTGCATTCTGGAAGCGCTGATCTGTTTTGAAGTCCTGAGCAATTTCTCGCAGCAGATGCTGGAAGGGAAGTTTGAGAATCAGAAGTTCAGTGGACTTCTGATAATTTCATGGAGTGCCACGGTACCAGGCCTATAACGGTGAGGTTTCTTCGCCCCTCCAGTAGAGGGCGCACTCTTTGTGAGCAACTTTGGTAGCCAAGTGCTTGGCCACTCATCAATTTGTGAGCAGTCTGCTTTGTAGGAGCCATGGTGTAGAGCAGCGATTTTCAACCTTTTTCATCTCATGGCACACAAAACTAATTACTAGAGGTCTGCGGCACACCAAAAATATTATAATTTTTGGCGATGTGGCAAAAAATATAGGTATAATGTTGGTTTAGTCACACCGGATGACTATTGTGTTGGTTATTGTCATTTTTTTATTTGACAATCTAAGGGAAAAGAAGTCAGTGCCCCTAACTAAATAGTCAGGTATTGCATGTTTAAAACTTCTTGTGACATACCAGTGTGCTGCGGCACACCAGTTGAAAATCGCTGGTATAGAGAGCTCCTTACTTACCTCCCTTCTCCTTCTGCTAGAGCTCTATGAGCTAGAGGTGGCGTTAGCATTAGAGAGTGATAGTATTACTAGAATATTTAAATATATATTTTTATATAGTATACCTCCTGTATTTTGGAACAATTTCAACCTTCCTTTATAACTGATTTGGTACTTTTTTTTAAATTTCAGATTTCAGTTAAGTTCCTTATGTCTTCCCCTGAAATTGCTTCCCTTTCATGGGGGCAAATGAAAGTACAAGGCTCTACTAAAACCTATAAGGACTGCAAAGTGTGGCCAGGGGGAAGTCGGGATTGGGATTGGAGAGAAACAGGAACTGAGGTAAGCTATTAGTGTTTGGTTGACACTGCATAAGGCTAACAAAGTGATTTCCACCATCCTAAGCTACCATGACCAAGTGAAGAGTAGCGCTCTCTCTTTCTCTATTCTCTCTCTCTCCTTGAGATATAACCCAAGTATGCAATTCAATGGAGTTTTTATTGTCATAAACTTATGCAGTAGTTAACCCCTACTAATTCTATCACCCCAAAAGGAACCCCCATAACCATTTTCAGTCACTGCCTATTCTTCCCCTCCCCCAACTCCTGGCAATTACTAACCTACTTTCTGTTGCTGTAGATGTGTCTATATTCATTCCAGATAAGCAGAATTATTCAATTCTCTTAGGACTGGAAATGCTGGGTCATATGGTAACTCTATGTTCAGCCTTTTGAGGAACTGCCAGCCTGTTTTCCGAAGCAGCTGCACCGCTTTACATTTTAGATTTCAGGAATGTATGATGTTTTCAATTTTTCTAAATCTCTCTACACCAACACTTACTATTGTTACTATTGTTTGCTTTTTTTTTTTTATGCCCCTTCTAGTGGGTGCAGAATGTTCTCTCATTGTGGTTTGGATTTGCATTTCCCTTGTATTGCACTTCCTCTGATATTCTCAGTGTGCAATGCCTAAGGTAGAGTCTGTGTTCCATGAGTGGAGTCCGATGAAACAAGGGAGCCCTTACCTCTCTGGCACACTCACTGGGGACTCAGCCCCACAATAGACAGCTGGGGCAGGACGTGAAACAATGGAGTCCTAGTCCTCCCTGGAAAAAACCTTTCCAGCTGGAAGATTAGAGGAGAAATATTCTTAGCTGCAGCAGTGGAGTGGAGTCCCCACCTCATTGATTTTGGGAGTCGGGAGGCAGGCAGCAGTCCTTCTTTAAATACCAGAATTTCTCACCTTTCCTATCAAATATTTATAGAAATCCTTTAATAGATATTTCTTCATTTGCTGTTTGCTCTCAGGATCATTTCCGAAGGCTTTGAAAGATTTTTGTTTCTGTTTTTGTTTTTTTGTTATTGTTGTTTGAATGATTTTTTTCTGAGTTGTTCCATGGGCAACTTAAACTCAACATATCCAAATGGACTTCATTTCCCTGTTCCTACCTTTCCACACAGGTATCTAGGTACTCTCTTGTGTTCCCTATCTCCATTAATGGTACCACTATCCACACCGTCAGTCAATTAAAAGGGAAACCGCAGAGACAATTTTTATTTCTCCATTTTTCTTCCCCACCACAGCTAACAAAGTACATTTGTTGATTCCACCTCAGCAAAGTCTCTCAAATTTACTTCCTCCTGCAGCCTCAGTTTTCTCTCCTGGACTATGGCATTGATCTCCCTAGCTGGTCATCCTGCCTCTTAGTCTGCCTTTTTCATGTCTCTCTTCTGTTATAATTTCTAAAAGATGAAGTTGCTGCCAGCACCTGTTTGGCTCAGTGGATAGAGCGTCGGCCTGCGGACTGAGGGGTCCCAGGTTCGATTCCGGTCAAGGGCATGTACCTTGGTTGCGGGCACATCCCCGGTAGGACATGTGCAGGAGGCAGCTGATCAATGTTTCTCTCTCATTGATGTTTCTAGCTCTCTATCCTTCTCCCTTCCTCTCTGTAAAAAAAAAAATTAATAAAATGTATTTTAAAAAAAGATGAAGTTGCTCATGTCTCTGCTCTGCTTAGAAAACTTCAACGGCTTTTCATAGACTTCAAAATTAAATAGGACAGTGTTCACAGCCATTTTTTTATGATACAGTTCCAAATTAGCCTTTTATTCCATCTCCTATATTTAATAACATGCGTCTGAAGACCTAGCTATCCCACACCAAATACTTATTGCCTTCCAACCTACCATTATCCTTCATTTTGTATCCTTTGTGCCTTTGCTAAAACCATTTTCCTTACTTGGAATGACACACTCCCTTTTGAAATCTTAAAATCCTTCGATTCCTAGCATCCGTATTATCTCCTCTAAGAAGCACTTTCTCATAGCCCTGGTGAGAATGAGCAGCTTACTCCCTCCTCAGTATTTCTGTAATACTTGCTGCCTCTATTACAGCACTTAGCACAGATTGCCTGATTATAATGAGTGTATTTATGTGTTTCCTCACTAAGTCCCCAAGTTGTTAGTATTCCTCACTAAGTGGAGAGCTTCCTAAGGGTAAGAACTATGCACTTAGCCCAGAGCCTATAAAATAGGACTCAATACATTTTTGCTGCATTGAATTTTTCATTATAAATGTCATTAAACCAATTTTTAAAAAATCTTTTGTGACATTCCTTCTGAGGTAGGTTAATGTTGTATTTCTTTTTTTATTAGTTTAAAAGGGGAAGGGGTAGGTTTTGTAGTGATTAAACCATGGAAATATCAAGAAAATGTTTTGTCTTCAACCGGTGTCCTTGCAATGGTGATTACTATTACCTCCCAATTCTCTATCCATCATTTTTAAGCAGCTACTATACAACTGCTCAAATATAGCTTTTCTAGAGTCACACAAATAATATATTTTGGAATTAAGTTTTGAACCCTAGTGTTACTCTAAAGCCCATACTTTATAACTGTTCCATACTATCTTCACTCATTTCTATCCTAAAGCAATAACTGTCTTTTTAGAGAAGATCCTTCTGTGTAGGAACATGCATAGTTCGCTCATTTATATATCCTTTTGTTAGGCTGAAAGTGGTCAGGATGGAAGATGTAAAATAAGTGTACTCAACAATGAAGATAAATTTTTTTAAGTGTAAAATTAAAAGAAAGCCAAACCAATTAGCACCCACCCCAGGAGAACTTTAAAGGACCAATGGAAACTTCATCCCAACTTTTAATTTTGAAAAATGTTAATCCTAACACACAGCAGTATGAATAATACAGTAAATACCCATACACCCTTTATCTAAGTCCTCAAGTTGTTAGCATTTTACTATATTTGTTTTTTCTCTCTAAACGCACATACATACACACACACTCACACACATTCACACACTTCTCCCCCAATCATTTGAGAGTAAAGGGCAGATATCATATTTCAGCATTTCTCCCCTAAGGACATGACCATTCTCCTACATAGCTACAATACCATTATCATAAATAAGGATGTTATCATTGACACAATATTATCTAATATACAGTCTATCTTCAAATTTCCTCAAAGTTCCAAAAATATCCTTTATGGCTGTTGGTTTTGTGGTTTTATTTTTACACGTAATGCAAGTGCAGGCATAAAGTGACACACAATTCCCACAGAGTTGTACAGCCGACCAGACTAGAGGTTCTTGTGCTTGGACAGTGCTACCTACAGAGAGACAGATGAGTTGGTACTAACCCTCTCTGCTCTTGTGCCGGTTTGCTTTTGCTCTTGTTGTGTGTGTGTGTGTGTGTGTGTGTGTGTGTGTGAATATATTTTATAGATTTTTTACAGAGAGGAAGAGATAGGGATAGAGAGCTAGAAACGTTGATCAGCTGCCTCCTGCACACCTCCTCCTAGGGATGTGCCCACAACCAAGATACATGCCCCTGACCGGAATCGAACCCGGGACTTTTCAGTCCACAGGCTGACGCTCTACCCACTAAGCCAAACTGGTCAGGGCTTGCTCTTGTTTTTATTCACCTTTCAACCTGGTTGATGTAGGCAGCCTATATTGAACTCTTCTGTGTTAAACCTCTCACTCTTTTTTCTTAATTTTGAAAAATATTGAACATATTTAACAAATTTAAAAAAAAAATAGGAAAGACACTTGTATACCATCAACCTATATTCACCAATTGTTAACATTCTGCTACATTTGCTTATTTGTCTCTCTGTGGTACTTTCTCAATAATGATTTCTGTTGAATCATTTGAAAGTAAGTTGCATACATCGTGAAACTTGAACCCTAAATACTTTAGCATGTAGGTACTAAAACAAAGGTGTTCTGCTACACATAATCACAATATTACACTCAACATTGATATAAAACTAAACAATGTAAGAAACTCAACATTGAAATATTATTAAATAACATCTACTCCGTGTCAAATTACAATTATTCCAATAAAATGAATGTCTTTTATAGCTGGCTTACTTTTCTAATCCAAGATATATTCATTTTGTTGTCATGTTTCTTTAGTCTCTTCATTTAAAACCAGTTCGCCACATATTTTTCCTCTTTTATGACACAGGTGGTTTTGAATTGTCTGGAACAGTGGTTTTGTAGACTAGTTCACAATTTAGATTTACCTGATTTTTTTTCTATCACAATTAGATTCAAATTAATCTTTTTGGCAAGAATGTTCTTGTCATTGCCAAGACAGTCAATTATGTCTTCAGTGCATTATATC